CCCCCGGGGGGGGGGGGGGGGTGTCTCCCGGACCCTCAGCTCCCAGGCAGAGGCTGCTCCCCGAGATTCCGGCGGCCTTCAGGGTCGCCTCGCCCCTCACTCCAGTCTCTGTTACAGCGGATGATGTTGGACTCGGCTTTGCCCGTTGGCTAAATACTGTGGGGAGAACAGTATTACAGTCCTGGGCTCATCATGAGCACCCCTCTTTGGTCAGCGTGTGACCTTATTTATTTACCCATCATATAGTCATAAAATTCACTCACCAAATGCTGTGTTATTAACAGTAAGGGCCTATGAAGAGAACCCCGGTTCAAGAGCAGGAAAGTTCATTTCATCTCCCTCTGTGTTCCTTTCCACACCCGCTGTCCTGGGGTGACTGCTCTCCTGATTTGCAGCCAGAGTGGTGGCTTCTGCTGGGAGCCCTGCTGGGGCTCTGTCTCCCCAGGAACAAAGGCCCAAGTTCTACAGGGGCACCACGGCCCCTTTTTTTGTCCCATGGACCCCCAGGTAAAAGGTAAAGCCAAGAGCAGCCTTCAGAGCCGTGCCCTGAAAGGCACACAGTGAAACATACGGGCCTGCGGAGGAAACCACAGGGACTGGAAAAGGTTGCTGCGCGTTTTCAACTGTGACCAGCTTCGTGTGTGGTGCTTTACCGACACATGAAATAACGAAACCTCTGTAAAATGCGCGAATCGGGGCCGTTACCTGGGGAGGCCCACCTGCGCGGCGGGTGGGAGTCTCCCCCACCCCCAACGCCCTGAGCTCCCGACCCTTCCTCACCCCACGTTCCCCTCCAGGGAGCAGGGTTCACTGTGGACGAGAGGGCAGCTGGAGGCACGGGCGTCGGGCTGGCCCTGCAGGGCCAGGGCCGCACGTGGGCTGTCGGAAGAGGGCCCGCCACAAAGAGGGGCAGAGGCTGAGAGGGAACTTCAAGCGTAGGTAGGGGACCAGAAGGTTTATTTTAGCTGCAAAATCACAGCCTGGGTGTGTCGTCAGGAGAGTCACTGTGAGGGGACAGCACTCCCGCGGGCGTCTGTCTGATGTCTGCCAGGTTCCCCAGGGACTGCTGTCCCGTCACTGCTGTGTCCAGCGCCTAGGACAGCGCTGGAAGTGGGCGGATGGACAGGTGGATGGATGGATGGATGAAGGGATAGGTGGACGGATGTGGTATCCAAGGCCGCCCCCCTCACCGCGGAGCTGACCCACTGGACCTGGTTTCCGTCCAGCTCTGGCCACTCCCTGAGGGACCTGGGCAGACCTCTGCCTCCCGGGGGCTCAGGGTGCAGGGGGCTGGGGGCCCTTGGGTGTCCCCAGCACAGGTCAGCCTGCGACCTTGGGGGTCTCAGAAGCCAGGCAGGTTCCTGCATCCCTCTGGGTCCAGTGCCAGCAACTGGACCAGCTGAGCCACAAGCGCTACTAAGGACCCCTCTGCGCCAGGGCCCCCTCAGCCTCAGACCTCGGGGAGGGCTGCAAGCAGCAGCTGGTCCCAGGGATGCCCAGGGCCCCCCAAGGGGAGGCACCTCTGGGCGGGGCCAGGACCTGTACCCCGAACTGCAAGTGCTGCTTCAGCCCCATCCCTGAGCTCCCCCGCCCCCGTGGCATGTGCCAGCCCCTGGACGCTCCTCCCCCACTGGCCACCACCCATCCTTGGCTTCCTTCTGGAAGCTGGGCCCCTGCCTCCCTCCTCCCAATGTCCACAGCTTCCCCCGCCCCCAGCCCACTCCCTGGGTGCCCACCCCACTCCTCGGCTTTGGTGCTGAAATCCCCACTGCTCTCTAGTGCTAGCGGCCACAGGGACCCTGGGCCACCGCAAGGGGCCCGTGGTGCCAGCCTGTCCCACTCTAGGTGCCCACGGTGCGCGGGGACCCTGCCAGGAAAACTGAGCCCCCCGACCTTAGCACAAAGCATTACAGGTTTATTTAAATAAAAATTTATAATTTATACAAGACTTTTTCTTTAAAAAAATGTTACAGGGGCATTTTTTTCATCAGTTCTTCATACAGTACAATCCTTTTGTTGAACAAAAGTTACACTGGTAATGAGTATTTACAGATCCAAAATAGACTCGGGCTCCAGACATAAAAAATTTAACATTCATTCTAGTTCAGTGATTAGTCGCAGAAATTAAACATCTGCCCAGATTTACACAGCTCAGTAAAACTCCAGGCTCTCCCCGACAGGGAGCCCGCACAGGCCCGTGCTCTTCCCGGCAGGGGCCCTGGGCTTCCAAAGAGGGACCGGCCGTGGGCCACTGTGCAGCTGGGGATGGCCGCCCTGCACGTGGTCAGTTTTCATCTCCCTCGCTCCTCAGAAGGGACTCAAACCAAACCACGCCACTCTGAAGGAGGCAAGTCCACTCCACACAGGGACACACCCACAGTGCATGGGAACAGAGTCCCACGGTGCTGACGGGTACACGTGTCGAGCCCACAGCAGCCCCAGGGAGTGGGGCTTGAGCAGCACCCACAGGTGTCGCCCCGCAGTCACCCTGGGCCAGTTCAGGGCCCACCCTGCCTTGCCCCGGGCACAGAGGGGGGTCCCCCACTGGGTGTGAACCCACAGCCCCCCCCAGAACTCGGTCCACCTGCACCGACTGCGGGGCAAAGCCCAGGTCTCGGGCGGGCTCTGCCTTCGTCTCTGAAAGGTCACAAGACACCGACGCCAGGGAGACCAGGAGCTGGGCGGCCACCGCAGCGCCCCGGGACCTCACGACTGGGCCAGGGCGTGTGCTTGTCTGGCTGGTGGGCGTGGCTCCCGAGCGCACTCCAAGGGGTCCCCCCCCACCAAGGGGTGACAGGAGTGACGCCACTGAATCGCCCGCCCAACCAGCAGATGGGGAGCAAAGGTAAAAATTTTTACGTCTGAAAAACGATACAAAAATAAGAAAAACAGCTTGCTCTCTGTAAAAAATATAATCTTCTGTTTCTTCAAAAAACAACGATCTCCGTGACACCCAGAGGACTCAGGACAAGCTGAGGGACCAGAGGTGCCCGTGTCGGGAGTGTGCCGAGCGGGGGTGGCCCTGCCGCCTCCTGGGCGTGTCCGTCCCCGAGGCCTTCGGCCAGTCAGTCCCAACGGGACACCGGCTTCAGGGAAGGGCCGGGCCGGCGAGACGCGCGCTCTGACCCACCCGAGAGTGAGGGCTCTCCCCGCTCCCCGCCGAGTGTGTGCAGGCACTGGGGCTGCGGACCCTGACCTCTGGGCTCTGCTCGCGGTCACTCCCCAAAGCCGGCTGACCTCCCCAGTGTCCCCGCACAGCCCCCGTGGGCAGGCCCTCTGCCAGCCTGGGCCCCCTCGGGCCTGAGGCGCTCTGTCCACTCCCACCCCGGCACAGCAGCCTGGAGGCGGGGGCGGCCCCGGGGCTCGGAGCACCCCCGAAGCAGCCGTCCTCCTGCGCCTTTGCACCGCACGGCACTCTGCATCCTCCTGAGGAGCTGATCTCAGGCCCCCGGCCAGCTGGTCAGCACCGCGCTCCCAGGACGTGCACGGGGGTCTCCCTAAAGGACGGGCCCGTTCGTGGCGCTGGCCAGGGGCCCCCACGTCGCCTGTCGCCGGCGTCCTTCACCCCGGGGAGGGCCCCGCGTGCTCCTCGTATGGCTTTGGTGTGGCAGAGCTGCTGGCCTCCGAGAGCTGGGGTGCGGCCGCGCCAGTCTCCGCCCGGTGGGGACAGAGAAGGCGTAGCTGTGCTTGGCGGTGTGTCCTGCGTGTCATCCTTCCCGGCGGCCTCGCGTCCACAAGACGCGCCCTCGAGAGTCCCGACCCCTGAGCGAAGGGGTCTGTAAAACGCAGGGTCAACACAATAGAAACCACAGATCGGGGGTGGGGGTGGGGTTATTGCAAAAGATCACGAGGATGTCCAATTTTTCTCCACTACCGAATTGTTAAAAAAAGAAAAACTCCCAGCGACGTCACGGCGAGCCAACACTAGCTGTCACCACCTGATGCTGCCGCCGCCGTGATCTTCATGTACTGGCTAAAGATGGTCTCGAACGCCTCGTCTCTGTGCACCATGGCGCCGAACACCAGCGGCTGGCGGGGAGGGGAAGCACCGGCGGTGTGTCCACATGCGGCCAGGTCCACACGGAGCCGCCGCCGCCCCCGCCTAAGCACCTGCGCTGGGCCGCAGCCTCCTGCCCCGGGAGGGAGGGGGCTTCCCAGGCCCCTCTGCCCGGCCGCAAGCCTGGCCCCCCGCCACCGCCGCCTCCCCGGCCCCCACCCGGCACTTACTTTCTGTGTTGATGGCGTGGACACGGCAATCCCCATGCCCGACCCCGGGAGGACGGAGAGGACCTTGTACTGAAAGCCAACGGCGTGCCTGTCACCACGGGCCCCCCTGGAGACGGGGCCACCCTCCCCACACCCCAGGGCGCTCTCCACGGAGCCCCAGACGAGCCTGGGCCTCCCCAGCCAGCAGAGGACGAGGACTGACGGTGTGAGCGGAACACTGGACCTGCTGACACGCCCGCCCAGCCTCGCCGGGGCTCCCCAAGGAGCACCACGTCGGGGGAGCAGGTCACCCAGCCCAATCTTGCTCCTCCGACCACACACGTCTCTGGGAGGGAGGGACCCACCACAGCCACAGGGGTGCTCCTGACACACCCTCAGAGGAAAGGAGACGCTGCCCAGCGGACGCCTGGGGGCCCACCCAGGAGGCCCAGAGGGGGCGCGGGTGGGCCTGGCCCACCCCACCCCTCCCCCGCCACCAGGTGTGTCAGGCTCTGCGCACACCTGTACCTGCTCCACGTGAAACAACGGAAAGTGCTGGGAAGTGCTGGAGATGGGACAGCCTGCCCCGGGAGAACGTCTCAGGGCCAAGGGGCAGACGGCTGCCGGGGCCCAGCTCACTGCCCACCCCACCCCCACACACACCGTCTGTGCGAGGACGCCAGACGGCGGTCCACCCGGCAGAAGAGAGCGCACAGCCCGCGGCGCGTGGATACCCCCCGACGGGCCGCGGGGCTCCGCACAGACACCGCCTAGAAACGGGGCCCTGCCGCGGGGAGAAACGACGCCTGCCCGACAGTCCAGACGGCACCCCTCGTCTTGTTCTAATCACACCCCGCTCCCAACTCGGCCCCCGGCTTCGCGACCCCGCCACTCCTCCGCTCCTGAGACTGGGGGTGAGCGTGAGCAGGGGCTGCACCCACCTTCTGGATGTCCGTGATGTCCACCAGCTTGATGACTTTGTTCCTCTTGGAGAAGCCGGACTTGGAGCTTTCGAAGCACAGGTAACTACCGGCGGCAGCGGGGGGCAGGGGTGGACAGAGCACAGCCCAGCAAGTGAGCCAGAGGGGACCGTGCCCGGCGGCTGCAGCCACAGCCCAGACACAGGGCCCCCTCACCTGCCACGACGCGCCGGCCTCTTACAACCGATTTCATTTTTACCGAGTCTCACAGCCTCTCAGCCTCAAAACCCACTGCTCTGCACTGAACCCGACTCACGTTCCCATGACGTGAGCATCCCCGGGACGCCCAACAAGAGACCTGTGTGTCGGTCTCCTCGGCCAGTTCCTCCAGTGAGGGGGTAGAGACGAACAGGTGGTCCTTGGCTGAGAGTGGGGGGCAAGGTGGCCGAGGGACCCCAGAGCTAAGAACAGACCCCACCCTGCACCTGCTCCACCCCTCCCACCCCTGGGGGTAGCTGGGCTGCTACACCCCAAAAGGAGGGTACCAAGAACCCTGCTGCTGCTGCCCTGGGGCCAGGGCCCTGGCTGGGGGAACCGCACGGTTCCTGCCACACGGCGTTAAGCACCCAGACCAGGGCATCCCGGGGCCTGGGGAAATGACGGCCTGCGGCCCCGGCTGCGTCCGGCTCAGAGGCAGTACCTCCCCACCCCGGGGGCCGGGAGCCAGCAGGAGTTGGGGTCTCGGCAGGGCTAGGGGTCCCCAGGGCTGGGGCGCCCTGGACTGCGGGGCCTGCGAGGAGCCCCCTCTAATCCTGGCCCCCGCCGGAGGGCGCGCCTGCCCGCAGCCACCGACAGGCTCACTCACTTCTCCGTCACGTACAGGACCCCGTTCCTGATGTAGTCGGTCGGCATCTTGCGGTCTCTGTTTATCAAGCAGCACCGCCAGCCGCTCTCACACACTGACGGGGACAAAAGCGGCCCGTGACCTTTCCTACTGGAAATACCCGCCCTCTGACTTGACGCTGGAACCATCAAGCACTGGCTTTTCAAGGAGGCACTGACGTTCACCCTCCACCATCAGATGAAACCCACAGTGGGAGGAAGGTGGCCTCTGAGAGCCTCTGGAAGGCAGATGTTTCCCCTCCCATGTAAATGGGCAGGGATTTTGTTGTTTTTTATTTTTAAAGGAAAAGCACAATTTAAATAAATCAAACTACGGCCACGACTCTCAAGGTTCACGGTCTGGGTCAGCAGAAAGAGGGCTCAGGAGGAGGTCAAAACTTAAACTCTCCAAAGTTCTCTTTCTGCGGTCGGTATCACACACGACACAGGCCAAACCGTTTAAGGGCCCCCGACCCGCCTCACGGAGAGGCGGGCAGCGTAGGAGCTTCGGGGGAGGCCGAGCAGGGCCCTGGGCTCCCGAGTCACCTGTCACCACCCAGCTTTCTAGGAGGCCACAGCAAGGGACGAGCTGGCCAAGGCGGGACCGGGAAGCCCCTGCGCGCGTGGCGCTCTGCGGCTCCGCTTCGGGGCCGGCCTGCCTTTCCGCTGTCAAGCCACCCACTGCGGACGTGCTCGGCCCCTCCGACCCACCCGCCCAGGCCGCCCGGGAAGGTGGAGGCGGGCGGGCGGGCGGCCCTCCCTCGGCCCCTATCGGGGCCCCCAGCACTGGGGCGGGCGACCCCGCCTGGCCTGGCCACGGGCTCAGTACACACGTACCCGCCAGCGGGCGCTCGTTTTCTGTCAAGTTAAAGATTTCATGGAAATTGCTCTTCTTGGCGCCGTGGACGCGGCTGGCGTCCTCGTCC